AAATTTAAGTTATTATTTTTTTAAAGATTGATAATAATTCATAATTAATATAAAATATTTAGATTATAGTCTAATATAATATAACTCTTAATTTTGCTTTGAATAAAATGTTTAATTTTTAAAAATAGCTTACCAGAAATTATTTTTTTAAAATCATAGAAAATTTCTAAAATATTTCWATTTACACAACACTAGTAATTGTTAAGCCAAAAGCTATTGGTGCCAAATGCCAGTATAGTTACCTCCCTTACCGTTATTTTATCGAATATAAGAAACTAATGATTATTACTAATGTTTCTGTTAAATATCATAATTTGGATAAACTGATCATCAATTATATCACTGTTTGGTACAGTTTTTGTTAAAGACATTTATGGCATCATAATTACACAGTATTTTTATTAATAATCTATATTTTAGATCAATTGCATCTGAATATATATGCAATAAATTTTATATATAATGTTAATATATAGACATAATCAAAATGATAATATCATTTATATTTGCATAGATATTAAATGTTAAATAAGACATAAATCGCAAAATGTGTCATTCAATACATAAGTCTAACACATTTCTGTATTTCCTGAAAAGTACTTAATATTATAAATATATATATATTTAGTATACTTATGACATGACTTGTTAGTGTCAAACCTGTAGAGATCCGGACATTTAGTATGCATTGCATAGCGAGTGAATGTCAGGTCTCTATCGTTAATCATTGGGAATAATATAATCTAATTCTTGAACATTAGATTTACATTACTTTTCTTATTGTTAAAGCATTTTGGATGTCAGTTCACATTTGTACTTAAATTTTAAAATAAATATACATTAGTATATTAATAATAATAAATTAATKTTTAAAATATTTAACTTTTATATAAATTTATTTTTATATTTTTTAAATATAAATTATAAAAATATATTTTTAAAAATATAAATTCTTTTTAACATATTTAAACAAAAAAATATTTAAGACWATTTGACTTTAGATTTAGTTATTTTATTTTTTATTCACATTAATATTATACAAATGACAATAAAAAGTGAAAAAAACTAAAAATAATGAACTCTTAAAATATCATTTTAATTATTTTAAAGATCAAAACTTTCAATTGATTGTCATYTAATATTTAGTTGTAACTTATTTATGTTCAAATAAATATATAAATACAGAATATATATATATATAAATTTTGATAAAATATATAACTTTAAATTATACAGTACAAACAGTAAATAACTACAGACTATACTGAAATTTTTATGTTTTTGTGATTGAAATCAAAATTATTATTATTATTACAGATATTTATATTATATTTTCTATAAATGTCTGAATTTTGTCCAAATTGTAAAAAACATATTATTATATGAAATATATTATAAAGTTTATATATAACAAACAGCACATTATTTTATATTTTAAAGATTTATAAAACAAATAAGTCAAGTGTAAGAAAAATTTCTCTCGACTTGCATTTTATGGCTACTTTTATATAAATACAGTAAATACACATTACGGATATATATACTGTATATACATTATATTTATATATTTACAACAAATTATTTGATATCAAACATATATAGTAAAGAGTAGTTAGCATAACTTAAGTTTTGTTTTTTAAATCATAAATTTTAGTCCATAAATTGTAATACAAATTGTRTTAAATATTGAAAAATATAAAAATATACAAAAACTGAAAAAATATTGTAAACCATTTGATATACTCTTATATTAGTATCGAGTGTTTAAACACATACATAGTATTACATACCAACCATAGAGTCGGATAAAAAACCTTTGGATCTCTTTTATTCTGGTGTTGTAAACATACGTACGGATAGTTAACCGTATGATATATAACAATAAAATAACAAAACGATTGACAGTAGAGTCCGTGTATTTAAGTTTTTTTTCAGAAAAAAGTAGTTTTTTGTGTCGTAAAAGTAGTAGTCATGAAATTCACATCCGATAAAAGTCATTATTATTATGTTATATCTTTGATGATATTATATTATATATAACTCAGAAAATATATATATAATATGATATATAGTACTGTATATATATATATGTCTTTCAGTATACTGTATATGATATTGTTTATATTGTATTTAGTTTGACATTTTTCGTATATATATCTATAAATTTTGTGTGCATATATCTTTTAACAAAAAAATGCCTATTCAAACATACGAATCAGTTATATTAGTGTGTATACTGTATACATATACCAGAAATAAATAGTGAAAAAATTGTTGAAATAAAATAAAAATCTAAAAAAACACGATCAAAAAATGCTTACTTCAGCTCACAATGAATTTGATAGACATTTCTAAAGTCTCTCTCTCTTTCTCTCTCTYTCTCTCTCTCTCTCTCTCTCTCTCTCTCATTTTCACTGTATTATTCTCTGTACACTTACTCCCAGTGCTCCTAAAGCTAACAAACAGAAAGAAAAGTTTTCATCTATTTTTTCGTGTCATTAATGTTTGGATAGAGTTAACACACTTTTTTTAAATGTATGTTTTGTTTTGTTTGCAAGTTCTTTATGTTTATTGTGTTTCCATAGACTTTAAAATTATATATTTAGTGGAAAATATTATATCAAAAWATTKGTACCAAATAGACGTTAACGATATGATATGCTTAAAATGTTGCAAAACATGTTATGATTTATATAACATATTGTAATATCAGCAATAAWTTGAAATAAGCAAAATCATTATAATAGAAAGTTATTTCTTTTAAAAAAAATCGACAATTTAAAGAAATTTTTTGTTTTTTAATGTTCATTATAACGAAATTATATTTATCATTTTTAAAAATACAGTTTGATTTATTTATTTTGAAATTTTGTAAAATATTTMTCTATTTTTTTCAACAATTTTCTTAGTTCTAATGACATGTATTWAAATGTCACAAAATATATTTGAAATATTAAATACTATTACTTTGAWAATTCAAAACTAAATATAATATTTTTGTTGTGTATTTAAATATATTCATTAAAAYTGTATATTAATCCAAAAAGGTTTTTTAGATATATAAATAGTTTTATCGAGAATATATTAACTATTAATAATTTTTAAAATTTTTAAAATATTTGTTGATACTATTTTATAAAACACCAAAATGTGTTATGTATTGACTAAGCACTGTATTATAAAATAATGTGCATTTTATTTACATAAATTTATTTAATAAAATCTTGTAATTCAAGTTGACATCGAACATAAATGTAATRAAATTTATTAAAATATATATTTATTTTTTTTATTAATTTTAATAAATCATTCACTATATGCAATCACAATCTACAGAATATAACATAACGTATATTAATTTTGATAAAAATGTAAAAAACAAAAAAAAACATTAATAGTTATTTGTTTAAGTAAATGAAATGAACTGGAATTACATCAATTGATTAAATATACAGTATAAATWAAATATATAAAATATAAATTTAATACAGTATACTGTACATGTATATGAAATAGCTTATATATTTTATATACAATATATTGTAATATTATACGGTATATATTGAATAAATTTTTATATATTATTATAAACCTTATGGTGTCTATGTTTTTGTTGTTTATTATCTATGATTACGACTCCACTATTTTGTTGTTCACCATTATTTCAATTGMATATATGTTTATGAAGTATATTATATACCACAACATATTATACTACAACCCATAAATATGATGGAAAAAATTGTATATTAAATTCAAAATTAATGTTTTCCATGAATTGTATCATCAAAAACAACTATGATTTTATTTAAGCAGTAGTTCATTCATTTTATAATTAATACTTGAKTTGATATTATAAATATCAAAATAATGATGATAACTATTTTTTAAGTAATAACATTTAAAGTTATATAATACTAAATACAGTATATTTGTTGTATACTTATATAGTTATAAAAGAAATGTCATTAAAATTAATTCCGATATTTCTTTACTTTTGTTGTATATCTTTCCGGAAATTAATTGCCATAAAAGTGATAATACTGGAGACATATCTTAAATATAAAAACCATTATCATTACTATTTGGCACAAATCATAGCATTTTATCACAACAATGATTACCACTCATGAATCGGATGTAAACACACAATCCGTGCAATGATTGTGTTGTCATTTAATGCATTTTTATGACAAAACCAGTACTTTCAATGGGTTTTTTTAGATACAATTGCATTGAATTTAATATATTAAAAGAGGCAAATAAATACATTGTTTGACTGTTTGTCTCACTCTTTCAATATTTTGTTTGTCTTTTGATCCGATTTTCTTCTTATAGCTTAAAATACTTTTTTTTGAAACACAAACAGTTTATATTTATATATATATATAATAAATCTATAATATTGTATACATAGTGTATATCTAACTTATATATAATGCGTGTAATAATATCTTATCAAAAATTTCACTTTTCTCTTTGATTTTCATGTTATTGTTGTTAAAGTTGTTATAGATTTTTCGTGTTGTGTATTGAATTTTATTTGTAATTTTGCTAAAGTATTTTCAAACAAAACGGAGAGATTTTTTCAAAAAACAAAGATTGAAAAGAGAAATATTTTTATAACTCTTTTATATTTTATTCATGAGATTTGATGAGAAAAATAAAGACAAAAATATTTCTCTTTATTATATATATATATATATATATATAATATAAATTTATTTTTTTCAGAAAGACATTAGTGTCTATAAAAATATATTCAATTTTATTGAATCGAAAGATAAAACAATTTTATTGTATGACATACTGTCCAACAATGTCTTAATATTTGTGTGTATGCTATGGGAATACCTAATGCTTTTTTAATAATATTTGACAATTTATTTTTACGGTCTAGAATACAATATATAAATATATAATCTTTAATTGTTAAAATATAATAAAATGTGTTAAAAATTAAAATTAATTTTTTTCTTAAATTTTTTGCAGTCATTTACACTTATAGACGCGTCTAACAAATGACTAAAAGTGGTCAACACTTAATGTTGTCACTCAAGAATCGGCTTCTGAAAGCCCTGAGCCCAATGTGAAGATGAAGTGGTGGCTCTTTATCTTATTATTCAGTATTGATTTGCTCATCGATGTCTACACATTACTACTGGTGCACAAAAACAACAACAACAATAATAATAGTAGAAACCAAATAATACATAAGCTTGTATTGAGGGCTCCTGTATATGATGCCCACACATCATATCATAAACATTAACATCATAAACAACAACAACAACTACAACATTACAATTACAGCAATTATTAACAGAGCGTTCATTAATTGAATTTAATTAGAAAGTTATGTAAAAAATCAAATCCAAATCCAAATCATACATTATTTTCATCTATTGGACAGAATTAAGCAATTAATTCATTGATTAGTCATAAAAACAATTCTAATGTCAAATCAGGATTCAGATCATAGGGTCGTCCTTAATGTCGGCGGTATTAGACACGAGACATATAAGGTATTATATTTTATAATTATTATATTATAGTTTAATAAAAGTAATAAATATATAAAAAATAATAATTAATTAATTAATTTTATTATATTTTATTTTTAATTTGTATGCTATGTTTATAATTTAATTTAAAATTATGCATAAAATATAAAAACTATTTAAGATTTAACACATTTTTTTAAGATAACTAAACAATTATTTAATTAATTAAATATATAACATATTAATATGTAATTTAATGCAAAGTAAATTTTATATTATTTAATCATAATTAGATTAGCATTTAGAAAATATTATATAATTATATTAAAATTTTAATATAATTTGATCATGGTGGATGCATAAAATTAATACTAACACATGTTTGCTAAATTACATATAAATGTAAAAATTATAGCACAAATTTTTATTATATTATTTTTATTTTTTATTATAAATTAAACATCTTTTCGCAAACTTAATTTTAATTCTTTTAATTTTATAACTTAATTATAAGTAAAAATATATTTAATAATAATAATAATTTTTCTATATCTATATAATTAATCTGCATTTACAATTAAAAATAAATCGTATACAGTCATAATAATTATCATATAAAGAATATAATTATTTTATATATTACTTGTAAATCTTATATTTAATTATTTTATTATTATTATATTAATTTTTTCAAAATTCAAAAGAAATTGAAAATTATGCTTTTATAAAATAGAAATTATAATTTTTTTTGGTCAATAATATTATTGTTAATATTAAAACATATATTTAGTATATAAATATTTTTAAAAATAATAATTTTGTATTAAAATTCTGCACATATTTTGGCATTTAATCTAAAAATCTTATATTTACTTATTTTTTTACAAAAGAATTTATAAGTAGTTAAATATTTTKTTTGAATAATAATAACAATAATAGTAATAAATTTATGTTTTTATGATATTTTTGTTAAGCTTAGATAAATATTTAAAAACTACTTTTTGAAAAATTTAGTTTTTATATWTATATTTTGTTTGTTTGATATGAATAAAATTGTTGTTTTCCATCACAACAACAAACAGTAGACTAAAATAAAAATACTATAAAAAATAGTTGAAAAAATAATATAATGTTTTTCAATTAGATTTCAATGTTTGGCACTTACTTTCCATTAAATATCCATTTTGTGAACCATTAGTTTAAATTAAATTTGACACAAACTTTTCAAAAATAATGGCTTTTCTGATATGATATAATATATTTCGCATTTATAACAAAAATAAAATTGTTGAAAACATTTGTCGCACCTATTGTTTTATAGGCGACGCTCAAGAAAATACCGGCGACAAGACTGTCACGTTTGACTGAGGCTTTGGCTAACTATGACCCGATGCTCAAYGAGTTTTTCTTTGATAGACATCCCGGTTAGTGATAACAACAACATATCTGAAATAATATTAATAACAATTGAATTTCTATTAACAATAAATACTATTATTAATTAACCACTATTTAGGAGTATTCGGTCAAATACTTAACTACTATCGGACCGGAAAACTTCATTATCCAACCGATGTTTGCGGACCACTGTTTGAAGAGGAACTGGAGTTCTGGGGACTCGACTCTAATCAAGTAATTAGATTTATTTGTCAATTGTTGTCCATAATTAACTAGTAGTGATGCCATTGTAATTAAGTTTGCAATACATTTAATTATCTCCACTTCTTAGCTATAATTTATTCAAATCATTAATTATGCCTTAAAATAGGTTGAGCCGTGTTGTTGGATGACATACACATCGCATAGGGACACTCAGGAGACACTTGCCGTACTCGATAGGCTAGACCTGGACACTGATAAGCCGAGTGACGAGGAAATTGCCCGAAAGTTTGGTATGGAAGACGACTACCTGAACGGCACTCTTAGTTGTTGGCAACGACTCAAACCCAAACTATGGTCCCTTTCAGACGAACCCTATTCATCAAATGCCGCCAAAGTAAACACAAAATCTCTTTTAATATATAAAATAATTTTTTTTGACAATCACTTGATATCTAATTTGATAATTTATTATTTGTTTTATTTTATTGATAATTCTATTGATAAACATATATATATATCTAGTTATTTATAACTTATAGGTATATATAGTATTTATTTGATATTTGATATCTACAGTACAGTACGGTAATGACTTTATTGAAAACTCTTTAACTATAGATTTGTAAACACTTCATATATAAATATGACTTATATAGTCAAACAATACAATAAAACACATTTAAAGTATTTGTTATTTTTATTCATAAAACATATAAATAAAATGTAATATATATTCAATTTTTCTTTGATTTATACGCGTGTTTGAAATGATGTAGAGTTTTATGTATAGTATAATATTAATAATAAAAATATTGAAAGTAATACTCAACTTTTTTTTCTGGTAGTCAAGTGTTTGACTATATATTTATCGACACTTGCGATGTAGAGAATCTAATATAAGTTTCATTATTTTTATCTAACATTTTTGTCATATAAATATAGAGTATTTTTATTGATTTTTATACTATAGTGAACACTATTTTCATTGTAATGCAAAATTCATTACACTTCTGATTATATATTTATATCATATATACTATATATATATATATTTATATTATACAATAAATATATATATTTAAAGATATTATGGTAATAAATTGAAAATTATATTTTTATAACAATCACAGACTAAACTTAAAACTATAAATTTTCAAAATAGTTTCGGATTATTTGAGATTTAATATATTTTTTTATAAATAAGAAGTAATTTCTAAACAAATTCAATTTCAAGTTTTAAGCAAATTATATAATATAATAAAAATTTCAATTTTATTTTTTTATTAAATTTTATATTCACTTCAAATAATTGAGATATAAATGGTAATATTTTTTTGTAAATTTATTATAATTTATTTCATAAATTACCAAATATTTAAATCTTTTGGGATTGTTTTAATAAAAACGATTTAGTGATATTCAATATTAATTACAAAAAAAATATTATTTAATAACTGCTGTAATAAAAACTATATATAACTTTAATAATAGAATATTTATATATATTAATATATTTATATTATACTGTTTTCTCACACATTTATAATGATTTTAAATTTAGTGACAATATGTCAGCAAAATGTTATTTGATTAACACATTGAATGAATCGATTAAACGTGAATAACAAAAATAGTAACCGAAAGACAGGTAAATGTGTTAACAATAAAGACATAATAAAAACATAATTCACGGTTTGTTTGCTATATTATGAAGTAAGAGGTTTAACAAAATTATTATATAAATAAAATTAATTTGTGTTTAACATCTGCGCTGATTTTACGTTTTTAAAAATTATTAATATAACATAAATTTATATTTATATATAATAAGAACCAATATGTAACTGATTTTAATAATCTGATTAAACTGAACCAAAATTTAAAAATTTAATTAATTTACATTTGAATTAAATGTAATAATCAAAAGATAATATTAATTTATTGTTTTGGTTGATCACTATTAGTATTAGTGATATTCAGACACTTTTGCACAGATAATATAAAATAAACAAATGAATTAATAGTAAACTTTTGTTTTTTATTATTTTATTTTTTGGTTATTCGTCAATAGTTTTATAATACTTATTTCCGGTTTTTAGTTTTTCGGTTAATTTTTAGAAACTCAAAACTGTTATGAATATAATATAAATATATACTGTATAAATATAAAATATACAATCAGCTATATACTGTGTATATACTGTATTTATGGCATAGACTATATAAAAAATAAATATTATAAAATAGTGTTTAATATTGCATGAAATCAATTACTATTTATAAATGACTCAAAAATATGTCTTTATATATATATATCATTGAGTGTTTCTTTCATATTATTGATATACTCCATTAATTTATGCATATATATATATATATATATATATATATATATATATATATATATATMTATATATATATATATATATATATATATATATATATATATATATATATATATATATATATATATTTGTATTCATAAGTCATTTAAGTTATTATTTATATAATCAAAAATTATAAGCGGCAAAAAACAAAATATTAGTTAAACAAATACAAAGATTTACACAATAAATACAAACAAAGTGTACGATAAATGTGATATATAAAAGTATAACAATTAATATAATTTTAAATTAAATTTGCATTTATCAAGTATCAAGTAATTTATAAATTTATATATAAGATTTCTCAAATAAATTTTAGTCTTTAATTTTTTATTTAAACAAATTTGTCAATGAATAATTAATGAATTATTTTTTTAATTGCTTAAATCTTTTGTAACTAACTTTTATGTATGCAATTAACACTTTAATTCAAAAGGAAAAGCACTTGTATTTAATTTAAGATGAGATACTATAAAATAAGAAATATATAAAATTATTTAAAAAGTATATTATACTAGAAATTGTTATAAATTAAGTTTGTTGTACATTATATAAAGAATATATTGAAATTTGTATCATTTACTTTAAATTGACTGATTTTGAAAGCAATTTTATACATTATACAGTAATTTTGTTGTAATTTATTTATTTATTTTTTTGTACAATCTAAATCATAAAAGCATAGTCGGTAAATAATGTACACACACACACACACACAAACAAATACTGTACATACATACACACAATAAATGTTAAAGTATTAACAATAATAGAAACAACTAAACATGAAAATTAAAATACATATTAAATTTATATTAGAAAAAGACTCAAATACCTAACTGAATAATTATGATCTAATAAAAGTTTGTATTATTAAAAATGCTAAATATATCACAATATATTGACAATTTCACAATATTATTTAGGGTCATTTTATTGGTATATTATTAATTGAGCCGTTTTAGTGATTTTTATGGTCTAAAATATAAAATATACTATTATTGACTAACAATTGGTCCTGGATGCATTATCATTGAAAAAATAGAATACTTTATACATTAATTTTAATACAGTATACACTTTCTATTTGTTAAATATCTATTACATATTACTATTAAATATTTAATAATAAATAGTTATATGATTTTAGAAAAATATTGTTAACTTATTTTAAATATATATATATACATGAAATTGAGTAAAACTAAAATTGACAAATCTATTAATATATTACTCTAAACAGTATTAAATAAATTGATAAATATTAAGAAATGTAATTCTTAAGAATTAATTTTAAATATATTTAAATATTTAACTAATAAAAGCTAAAACATTAATAAAGTCAAAAGTATTTTCTTGAATGTATTGGATATACAAAGTTTGGTTTAATTGATATTTATGTCTTATGATTGCGATTATTATAAGTCTTATAACATTGTATTATATAATAATAACAGAAACTAGAGTTAAAATATTTATCCCAAAAATACATTATTTAATATATAGTGTAAGAGATATTATGTATAAATAAACTAAATACCGGTATATACTGTACGAATGGGTATTCCGTAAAATACAATCAGTTTTGACACCAGGAAAATGACATTAAAAATAAAATTATTATTTGGTTATCAATTTTGTTATAACAAAAGCAATAATAATAATAATAATAATAATAAATGACTTTTGTATGGAAAAAACAAAATTAAGTTCAGTTTTATTTCATCGGCCAGAAAAAGCTGCCAAATGTGATATAATTTTTATTTTATAATTTATAGCATAATTATCACTTTTGATGACCATTATTAAGTATTATTTTTATTTTCTCTCTGCGATAATCATAATCATCACCAAAACTAAATGAAAATATATTAATAATTTTTTGTTTTTTTTGGTTATCTTTAGGTGATTGGCGTAATGTCCGTATTCTTCATTTGTGTGTCTATTTTATCGTTTTGTTTGAAAACTCATCCCAATATGAGAGTACCGATGATCAAGAATATAACGGTTTGGACGTCAAATCAATCCCAGTCATGGGTTTTGGATAAGACACAGACCAACCCTCACGAGGCCTTCTTTTACATCGAGTGTGTCTGTAATGCCTGGTTTACAGTCGAGATTATCACCCGTTTCACATCATCACCCAGCAAACTTAATTTTATTAAAGGTTAGGTCCGGTGCCCATACACTACAAAAACAATGACAATAGTTTGCTAACTGCTCTCTCTCTCTCTCTCTCTCTCTCTCTCTCTCTCTCTCTCTCTTATATTTCTCAACTCCCAGTGCTATATCTTAACTTTAATGTCACGACAATATATTATTAGCAAATTAGGTTTCAAATCATGATTTGATTTTGTTTTTTCTCTGATTTCCTTTTATTATATTGTATATGTTTTTGCTTTTTATGTTGACTTTTATTTACATTGATTTTCCAATCATTTGATTTTTTTGGGTACTTATATACAAGTAGTATTTGTTATATACATTGTACTTTACTATATATATAAATTTATATATATATATAAATGTTTATATTACATACTGTATACTGTTGTACATTGTTTCTCATTACATGTTTTATTCACTTCAATCGATTTTTGTGTTGTTTTTTAGATTTTATTTTATATTTAGATTTTTGTTTAACTAATATGTGATCGCAATGTTATTTGCCGTTCAAATAAAGCTATTTTGTATTTATTTTTTGGTTATGCAATTAAATTATTTTAGCATGGGCAAAAATGGTATGTAAATTGTCATATTATGTTTGCTAGAGTTAACTTAACCCATAGTTTGCTGTTCAGTCAATATTGATTATATCACAGAAATAATGTAAAATTTTAATGAATTCTATTAAATAACTAAAAAATTAAATATAACTAAAACTTGACTTTATATCCCTGTTCAATGACAACCTACAGGTGCAGTTAATGTAATAGACATAACGGCCACCCTATCGTTTTACATCGATTTAGTACTTCAAAAATTTTACAGTCATTTGGAAAACGCCGATATATTAGAATTTTTCTCAATTATCCGAATCATGCGGTTATTCAAACTGACCCGACATTCGGCGGGTCTCAAGATATTGATCCAGACGTTCAAAGCGAGTGCCGGCGAACTCATACTATTGGTATTCTTCCTGGTGTTGGGTATTGTCATCTTTGCTAGTCTTGTCTATTATGCCGAACGCATTCAATCAAATCCCGACAATGACTTTAACTCAATCCCGTTGGGTCTCTGGTGGGCATTGGTTACTATGACCACAGTTGGCTACGGTATGTATGTTAGAGCACAGCTTGAATTGTCTAATAAACAAAACCACTCTTTTGTATTGATGTCCACTTTATTGGGTTGTCTGTACTCTTTAAATCTTAACACTTGATTTGATGTCTCAAAACACTTATAGGCACTGGTTTTTTATTTATTTATTTATGTCATAGAGATCTATGTGACAAAACTGACTGATAGTCTCTTTTTAAACCAATACTAAACTTTTCAATCATTCCAGTCATACCCAATCCCCATATTATAACTGTCCTCTCACTTCATCAACACTCTCATCTCATACAACAAACAAAATAAAGTGCTTTATAGCGATATAATTTACACAAAGATTCACTACTATATATATATTTTATAATTTTTTTATTTTACTTATTTTTATTTACACTAAGTTTTCTGTTACCAGATTTTTATCACCAGATTTTTGCTATAAAAAAGGTTTTATTATTATTATTACAGTATTTTTTTCTTATTTTTTTAAAAAAAAAAGGTCGACACTCATGAGTCAGTTTAATAAAAAACTAAAATTAAATTGAAGTCTTCCCTATTGTATTGTATGAGTCTTGCGTTTACTATGATTTGATATTTATCTCAATCCATAAAACTGTTTAAAAACTTTTTCTCTCAAAAGAGTTTAATTTATAGTAAATTCACATTAAATACAATGTCAGTGAAGTAGAAATTTTTGTACTAAAATTTGTGTCGAAAATTAATTTTAGACAACATCTCTATGTAACTAAAATAATGTGCAACTTATGGAACATTTTCTAATAATTATTTGAATTTTTCATTCATGCAATGACCTACCCGTCCACTGGACAGGCGATATGGCGCCAAAGGTATTGATTTTTCTTTATTGTTTTGGCATTTATATGCAATCATTAATTAAAGCGCTTTTTTAAAAAATCGATAATTAATTAACTATTTGTTTTAAATCTAATGAAACTGATCAGACATACGCCGGAATGTTTGTGGGAGCGTTGTGTGCGTTGGCCGGTGTGCTGACAATAGCCCTACCGGTTCCCGTCATAGTATCCAACTTTGCAATGTTTTACTCACACACTCAGGCCAGAGCTAAACTGCCAAAGAAAAGGCGGCGCGTATTGCCTGTCGAACAGCCGAGAGTTATGAGACAACCGATTAGAGGAGGTATGAGAGGCGGCGCCAGAGGTGGCGGTGTTTCACGTATGAGTGCCAGCAGTACTACCGGTGTTGACGGCCCTGTCGGGCGTAATGTAAGGCCAAACGCCACAAAAAATCAACCGAAAGACGCGTTTGACTTAAAGTTGGGAGGTTTGCTATCAATTAATTTTATTTATATAATGGTTAATAATATATRTATATATATATATATATATATATATAGTATTAATTTATTAAATATACAATATTTGAAATTTTATATTTTGCTTTTTGTTGAAAATAAAAAGATTAACACATGTATAAAAAAAAATATTTTTATAATATTTTGTTTGAATAATTTGTAATTTTTTTTGCTTATAATAATTAATTAGCAAATCAATGTAAATTAAAATGACATTTAACTATAACAAGTTTAATATATTCAAGCAATGTTTTTGACATTTTTAGAGAGAAATTAAACATTTTTAGTTAATTATTTGACATTTTAATTATAAAGTTAAATAAATTTTTATTTAAAAAATTAAATATATATYTTTATAATTTATATAAATTTCAATAATTATTTATATGTAGTTAATAAAAATTTAAAGAAGTTTACATTGACTTGATTTTCATTTATTTTTATTTATTCATGAAAACAAATAAAATAAAAGTATATAATGAGAGCATGAATAATGAGAATTAAAATAATATACTATAATTTACCAAAATATCATACAACATATACTGTATAAATATTTAAAAAAATGTAAAATTTTTATTTAAAAAAATATATGTTGTTTAATTTAGTGATTATTATAAAGAAATTTAAATATTTATAATTCACATGAATCTTAAATTTAAATAATTATATTTACTTATATTATAAGATTCATTGAAAAATATTATGTACAATATTTTTATCAGTAATTTAAATTACTGTAAATTATCATTAACTTTATATTAAGTTTTCAAATAAGTTTAAAAAAATTTTGTTTAAATTTTACTTTAAAATTATTCAATAATTATATGTGAGAAAGTTGAATAACAATATAATTATTTATTCAAATATAGTTTTAAAAAATCCATAGAAAATTACGTAATATTTTTTTAAATATATATATCAACAGATATTTATAATCTATAAAAGATATGAGAATCTCATAGGAAATTATGTTAAGTATTAATATTAATTTTTTTATAATTTGTTTCTATGGGGATTATAAATATGCATAAATAATTTTTATTTTATAGAAATTATTACATTTATAGTATTTTTTATATATTAATTCTATTAAATGTATATTTTTAATACAAATGAAATTATTATCACAATTATTATTTGATTTGCAAACTATTGTATAAATTATATCAAAATACAGTACAAACTTTTCACTCATCATATGATAAATATTTTATTTAGCTCTTCATATTTGTTGACACATTTAAAATAATGCTTAAAATATAATTTAGATTATATTTATATAGGGTTATTATTATAAACAAAAATTTTCTAAAATTTTGTTAATTATTTTAGCAATTTCATCATTTTTGCCAACTTTAACTGAAAAAACATTAAAACATAATACTATACCAAATATTTATAATATATAACAATACTGTATAAGTGCTTTATATTGTAGACAAATATTTATATAATTTATTGTCTTTACTAATAATTATTATTCATGTTTTATTAAATATACATAAATATACTATAAATATTTATCTATATATTTTATATACAGTATATATATATGTCAGACAACTAGTAGCCAAAAAATATCTAATAAAATTAATTATAATAACTACAGAAACAATTTTTACAATGTTATTATTTCATACATTTTATTAGATTATAATTCATAATTATATTATCATGAATATTATATTATTGCAACTAATGAAAACAATATATATTGACATAATTTTTATTGTTAAAACAGATTTATTATTTTTATTATTATATGATTTGTTTATAGTTAATACTCAAAACAATAATTAAAATAATAATCATTTGTTGATTTACATAATATTTTATTGTCGACAATTTACATAAATAAGCCATAAAGTAGTCAAATAAATTTTTGAAATAAACAATTAACATAAATAAAAACAAATTATTTAGATTATTAAATTTATCATTATTATAAAAATATATTRTTATTAATCAATATAAATATATAACATTAAATTAACATTAAAGATCTTATTAAATTTAAGAAAAATGTTTCTATTTTTTAGTTTAATAATTTATATCAAATTACTTTTGTTTGACTTATAAAAGAGATTTATTTAATTATTAATGTAGATATGTTATGACTACTACTACTAATGATTATCCAATAGATTATAATAATAATAAAATACAAAATTATAAAAAAAAGTTTTTTAAATATTTTAATTTTTTCAAACCTAATGTTTTTGTCAGCAAATAAATAATATTTAAAAATGTTACATTTATTAACAATTGATTAACTACAGCATACAGTATATCAAATTAAATTATTTTAATAAAATATTAGTAACTATAAATTTAATTATTAATTACTATATCAAAATGTAATTATAAACTGTACTATACTGTAAATATTAAACGGTTTATACTTGAATAGAAAAACAGTTTTTAATGTTGAAAATGTTATCAACTTATTAATAATAAGACAGTTTTATAAAGTATTTTAAGAGCAAAATTAAATTTAATAAAAAACTATTGACAATAATATACTATATATTATTAATGTTTATTGTATACAGTATAAAGAATTGAGGCTTTTATTATATGAAAGTTTAATACAGTATACACTGTAATATACAAATATAATATTAAATTTATTTTGTAAATTTTAAATGACAAAAACACAACATGTCATCAAAATAAGTAGGGTTTTAATATTTTAACATTATTATTTTCGTATATACAGTATATATAATAAACATTTGATTAAAATATATTTTACTTTTTTCTTTRCTATATTTTCAAGCATAAAATATATTGAAAATATCTATATAGGCAATATATTATATAATTTGCATTAAAAAATTGTAATAGTAATTGCTTAATTAGTAATTTACATAAATTTTTATTAGTTTTTATACAAATTATTGTATATATTAATTTGAGTAACTTCAAGTTATTTAAGCAATAAATTAATTGCAATTAGCCATTTGTATTTTATATTGTCTATGAACCTAATATTTGCACATTAATTGTCTAAAACATTTAATTAATGGATTTGATTGAAACAATTCACTATTAGTGATGTGGGCTTTAATTACTGTAAATAGTCTATTAAGAGATAAACTGTTAAATGTAAAGCAAGAACTCATCATTTATTTAAACTCTATATTCACTATCAATTAAAACAAGTTTTTTTTAAATATAAGCATTTATTGTCGGCTTTGCTTTCAATGTTTTATCATTTTTATCATTTTTATTTATTGATTTATAATACTTATAAATACTGCTAAACAAATATTAGTATTTCTAAGATTTTTAGACTGTAATATTTTTATTATTGTTTAAATTTATATATTTAAATTTATTTGTAGCTTAAGTTTGCTAATTGATATAAAATTTCTTGTGTGACACACTGTGTATAATGTAAATCTAAATTTTCATACATAACAGAAAAAATGTAAATTATAATAAACAAATATGTATAAGTTTAATAAAATGTTTAATATTAAATTACCATTAACAAAGTTTAAGAGATATTTTATCAAATAATAAACAAACCATTATTGAGATATATTAAGAAAATATAAATTAATGAAAATCACAACTATTAGGGTTTTTTTTGTTAAACACTGTTTAAACATAAGGTTAGAAAAATTAATGATCTGTAAATATTATTAAGCGTCTAACTTTTTTCACTATTAACAGTAAATATTGCCCCTTAAGCTGTATAGAAATGCAACCTAACTGTGAAATTAAATTTTTAAGTCAAACTCATTGTAGTATAAAATAAATTTTATTAGCCTTTGTCATTACGTCTATCATTGAATACTATATAAAATCAATGGAGTAAAAGAAATATTATGATAATATACATTATATTCAATATACTGTATAAATAAAGTATATTTAATATAATTTTTAAAAATAGATATTTAAGTCTAAATGGACTTCAATTATATATATAAACGGCATTTGAGATATTTATGTTGTATTTGAAAAGTCAAATGATGAGTGAATTAAATATTTGTAAATAAAAAATACTGTTATCATCAAAAATATTTATATATATATACACATTTTGAGTTAAGTAAAAATCTTAATTATATTTTTATATAAAGTTAATGCTAACTAAAGCTTAATAAAAAAAACTTATTATAAATATAATAAAAACAAATAAAAACATTAATAATTGCCTCCAATAGCAATAACACTTAAATAAACTGACAAATTCCTACATATTTTGAGGCAAAATAACAAAAGTTTGTATTTTATATGCTTATAGAACAGTAAATGTATTAATGTATGAAATAAGTTATATAATATAGAAAACATATCCAATCCAAGTAAATAATGTTTATTTTGTAATATTAATATTTTGTGTTTACAATAATTTGTTGTTCACTATTATTAAGTCTACTAACAAACTACTATCACTACTACCACTACTACTACAACAATCATTTGTATTTATTTAATAAAACACTAATCTTAAAATATTAAGAGAAATAATTGTCTTTTGTTTTAATTAATAAATTATTTTTATATGACTTCTGTGTTTTGTAATACTTTTATCTCATATCTCAAAAAAGTTATACTAAAATATAGTTACATATATTTTTGATATTATTTCCTCTCACAGAAAATAAGATTGAAGTCATAACAAAACATTAGGGAAATCATACTTTAATTTTGGTATATATTAATCTCTTTAATCATATTTTTATAGATTATATGTGTGTATATATGTATAGATTTTTGTGAATAGATAGTAAAAAATACATTATTTTATTAGATTTTTAATAAATAATTGCTATCTTTATTTATATATAATAATCAATACATTAGGTAAGGACGAGCCGGTGCCGACCCTTAACGTCAATCATAATAAGGAAGTCTCGCAAAAAAATCGCCGACAGTCCAGTAGCCAACCGGTTGGTGCCATAACTGGTTCAATAACTGCTCAATCCATCAAGTCTTCGGAAGACACACACAAGACATCGACGTCTCCACAAATGCCTACCAGTGCCCGCACATCCATTGCCGTCGATATTACGTCTATGACTGATAAATGTCATTACGGTATGCTATTTATGAATATTATTGCCGATAATTAATTAATAAAAAATATTTATAATAATAATTATTAATTTTTTGGTATATATATATACTTAAAAATATTTCAAAAATAGATTTTCAATTGAAATGATTTGAAAACTATCTTTGAATTTCTATTTTTTAAATATATTGCACTTAAAATAGATCATAGTTTACTTCAATAATAATAATATTATTATTAAACATTAAAGTAAAGCCTAAAATCAGATTAAAAATTGATAGTTATTTATGGGTCAACAGTTATGAGATCTCTGTCCAAAAGTATTATATTTTATATATACATTACTTTATAAGTTATATATTTTGATAGATTTATTTTTACTACAAAAGACAACTTTTCCTTTAGTTTGATATCTTATTTCTGGTGCTATTTTCAAAGTATTTTATTTATTTATTTTTCTCCTCTATTTTCAAACCATTTCCGTAACAAAGAGAAAGAATATTCTGAGCCTTTCTCGCCAAATGTCTCAATAGATATCTATTTATTTAAAAATTGTCAAAAATATAGTAAATTAATGATATTATTTTAATATAATATTTTTTGTCCAATAAAAATATATGACAAATTATTTTTGAAAATAAATATAAAATACTCGAATAACCATTTTATTTAGTATTTTTGGTATTTATTAAAGAAATAAATTGTAGATAAAAATATTAATATTTGTTTAGCTCACAAAAAAGCTCATTCATAATCTATTACAGTATACAATAGTTTTATATATTGAGGACAATTGCATTCATAAATGAAATATAAGTTTATTTTTAATTCATAAATAACACAAAACTATTATATTTAGTGCTTCTTTTAAAGACATATTTATAATTAATAATTGCTAACAGAAAATAGGATAATGTTATGTCATATAAACCATGTTTTGTGTTTTAATTATTAGTTAAAAAATTGTTAACAATGCGATAAAGTTAATGGCTATGTTTTTATTATATTGTAATATTAATACATGGTCAATTTATATATTAAAAACTATGACTATGATACACAGTTTTGTCGCTTATTATTAATAATTTAATAATATTTAATTTACATATTAATGTTATTTATGCCCAAATGCTTAACATAGTTGTCAATTTGAATTATTACTAATTAACAAAAACTATTTTAAATACAAGCTTTTTATGACAATTAGTTTTTTTTAAATAATTTAATTTTTGAATTTTATTAAATTTATTTATTAAATTTTTCAATTATTCAAAAAAATAATCAATTTTATAGCTAAATGAAAACAATTTGAAAACAAAATTTGCATTACATTTGAATTACATTTTTAGTATATTAATTGTATTAAATTGTATAAAGTTTAAGCTTGAAACTTAAAACTTAGTCTTATTTATTTTATCCATAAAAATAATATCATTTATGTGGCAATTATTAACACTACAGTATAACTCAAAATCACTTATATATGTCTCATGTTTTTACTTGAAATTAATTTTTTATTTAAATAGCCATACAATCAATGAATGAGATTTAGTAAACAAAAGCCTAATACTAATTTGTAAGGTTTATAATTATAATATAATTGTATATTTAATTAGAGTAAATAATTATAATAATCATAAATAGTAAGTGAATGTTCGTGATTAATGACATTTTTGGTTGAATTAAATTCAAGTATACAATATATTTTAATAAAACTAATTTTCTATATATATACCTATTTATATACTAATACTAATTAATATATATAAAAATATATTTAGTTAAGTTATTATAAATTATGTAATTTTAGTTGCTATTGAATTTTCAATTAAAATTAGATAAAAAATATATAATTGTTAAATAACAAAACGTCTATATATATAGTATAAAATTATTTTAATCAATACTAAATTAAAAAAAACATTTGTATTTAAATTCTTAAAAAATATTTAACTAAATTAAACTAAATTGGAATACATTGACAATATTATTGTATATTATCTACYAGTGTTGGCWGAGACAAAGTGTATGTATAATACAAAACGTATTTTACATTATAATACAAAACGTATTTTACAGTATAATACAATGTAAATTACATGACAATTTTGGCTTACATAAAAATTTTAGCGCCACCTAGTAACAAAAATACTAAGATTTACAAACAAACACATGTTTTGTAATAATAATTATTTTTTTATTTTAAAAAAATTTGAAATTAGCTATTCAATTTAATTAGGTATTGAAATATATTAATAAAATAATTATTATTTATTTTTAATAGTTTTAGAAAACAACGATTCTAATAACGATATTGAAATTATGTAATAATAATAATTTTAATAAAAAATAAATATTTTATTATTGTTAATGTAATTTTTCTATAATTGTAAAATACATCCAGTACATTGTATTTAACTGTATTTTACAAAGCCAAAATTGAAAACCTTGTATTTTTCCAACCCTATTATCTACCAATAATAATACCTGTTTGTGTGTATGTAATATACTGTACTATGTAATACATAGTATGTATGTATGTGTGCCTAAAATAATGTGATTGGCTTTAATGCAAACACACAAACATTTATTGATCGTTTAGTTGATTAGACAAATATCTTTATGTTTATCTATTGATATAAATTTATATATATTTGACATTTATTGTAATATAATCTTTTAGTTTAATTCTCAATAAGATTTGATCCGAAATTTATTAAACTTATTGCAAATGTTTGAGTAAAAATAGATTCAAAAACACAGAATCTATTTATATTGTTTTGAGTTTATCTATTACTAACTAATGCTTTGATTTATAACAATAATACCTTTGATAATAAAGATTAAAAGAATTTTAAATAAATAARGGGTGATTCACATATTACGTTTGCATTTGGGGCAGGTAGAGTCGGCCTAAGAGAACTTTTCTAAACGAGGGGGAGGGGGTAGTGATCTTAATAATTTAAGGAATTAAAGGATTAATTTTTATCAAAGTTAATCATTTGATTAAAAACGGTTTGAATAAATATATGATTTTGAATAGTTTTCTAGAATTCTTAAAAAGTGCGAAAGTAATATGTGAATCACCCCTAATTTTAAAAATACATACAAAATCTACTTTTATTAAATTAAAGTAGCATTTATTTTGTATACTATTACTATTGTAATACACAGTGTGTATTACACACTATGTATAAATATAAAATTTTATTTTGAATGTTTTATATTAGTAGGAGTATGTAATATACCGTATATTACATACTCCTACTAATATATTATATACGGTATACTGTATTAGACCATTTTTAAATTAATAAATTAATATACAATGTACTGTAGTTATGCTTTAATATGATTAAAGTAATTGAAGTGTGTATGTGATCTCATCAATAAATTAGATACCATTTAATAGTCATTTATTTTTTTAACTATTATAAATGTTAAATTTTTATTAGATTAAATGACTAAAAAATACAATACAATATTATAAGGTAATACAATTGTTATTGAATTACATGATTGTCGAGAGAGAGAGAGAGAGAGAGAGAGAGAGAGAGAGAGAGAGAAAGAGATGGCAAATAACAGACATTAAGAGGAAAATAATATAACAAAAATACAAATATGGTGTCAGATATGGTTAATCCCTGGGATATTATCTTGAAGTGTAATTTATTTGATTGCAAAAATATTTGCGATATTTTCTTCTCTCTATCTGTACATACGTTTCAGTCACTCAACTATTGTATATCTCTGTCTATCTCTTTATCTATTTATCTCCGTTACAACAAAAGTATCAGCAAATGTCACGGAATATCCGTTATCTATACAAAAGTTTTTCACATATGGTTAGAGAGAGAGAGAGAGAGAGAGAGAGAGAGAGAGAGAGAGATAAATCCAAAAATACAAGTTATGATTACACGAAATATTTTATGAATTTTTGGTGCATTTCTGGGTTATTGGATGTCATAAGAAAGACATATTTATTTGAAAATCTTATATATTTATATAATTTCTTTTCTATTTCATATTAATGTATTTTATAGTATTATTAATACGATTATGAAATATTGATTTTGAAATATAATATAATAGATGCAAATATTATATAAGCGATATATTTATTATAATTTTTAGTATCAGTAAATTGTATAAAATATATTATTATATAATATTTTATTTAATATTTTGTATTCTTATTTATTAAACTATGTCTCTAATTATTGATGTTTGGGCTATATTTTGTTAATCAAAAAATTTAAACACTTTTCAAAATCAATTAATTTTTAAATCAACTTTTTAATTTGTGAATCATATATGTAAAATTGTTTTATTATTAAAAAATATTTATTTCAAAATTAAATTAGCATTTCTTCAAATTTTTAGTTGAAATTTTAATATAAATCTTGTAAAATCATTAAAAATATATTAAAATTATTGTATTATTATTGAAATAATTAGCTTTACAATATATTATTATTAGTAACTTTTTTATCATATTTTGTTTGTTTATTTTTAAAGTCATTTTATATAAATAAAAGTGTTACACTATATCATATCATAAAATAATTAAAACAAAATTATATTTTTACGAGTTTTGTGAGAATTAAATATAAAAATAATTTAAGACTTAATTTTTGTGGAGTACAGTATATATTAAACTTGATTTCATGTTATAGTTTATCATTATTTTCTCGTTCACACTATTGAAATTGATATTTGATTATATTTTATGCTATTTATATATATATTATTTGATATCAATAGGAAAGACAAGTAGTAGCGACAGCAGTGGCGGTGGTATCAGTGCACTGAACAGTCATTCACCGGAAGCACAGTTGTCTACGGTGTCTACGGTGTCTACTATTGCCGGCAATCTAATAAAATTTAGTGAAACGGGTAGTACAGCCACAACACCATCACTGGCCTCATCCAAGTCATCGCCGACAACAACGTCTTCACTATCAGAACAGACTGTCATATTGGCGTACAAAATAGATATTTGACTTTTAATTTATTTTTTGTTTTTATTATTTGGTGTCCAAACCAAACACCAAACTAAATATTTATTAAAAAAAACTGTTGAACTTATTTAACCAATTATGTGATCATATATTATATATATATATATATATATAAGTTACAAATAAGAGCACCGATATTATTGATTATCATATTTGGGACGAGACTTAAGACACACTCACAAAGACAGACATTATTATATTATCATTGATTTTGTGAAAACAAACAAAATTACGAAAACTATGTTTTCTGCGAACAAAAAATCATTTATTAATACATACATCTATATCATTAAAATTTCACCATCAAATAAACTCTAAAAAATTATAAGTTTGTAATTTTAATATATTTGTTATTTTATCAAAAACTAAAAAACAGATATTTTATAGATATAATTATGTGTTAATGTAAGAAAAAATGCTTTCATTTCAAAAATGACAAAAATGAAGATTAAAGTGTAAATACAAAGAGAAAAGTTGTCATAATTTTTATTTTATTGATTACTAAACAAAAGTCATAGCCTTAGATAATAAAAGCCAATCCACGCTTCAAATGGACGACAATTTTCAGTGACAGTCAAATAAAATGTTAAATACCATTATTATTGTAATTTTAAGTGTATGGTTGAAAATGGGTCCAATCAAGTGAACAATTAATAATTATTAATARTAATTATTATTATTTATAATTAATATAATAATAATAATTATACTAATAATATATATAGTTAACTGTTTCACCAAAATTTGTTTAAAATGAAACCAAGTTTACAGCACAAGTCAAGACAAAAATCTTTAAAAAAAATAAATTTGTTAATATTATAAATATAAAAATTATAAATATAAATTCAAACTTATTATTAATTAATTGATTAAATTGTATTGTTATTTAAATTTTAAACATCGAACAAATGTAATTAAATTTACTTGGTTAATTTTGTTAAATTTAATGTTATTAATAATATTGTTGTTAATGATGATGATGCTGATAAAAAAACACTCCCTATTTTTGAAAGTTATATTTAAAAATTTCAAACAAAAATATGTTTTTAGCGACAAATAATTTGTTTTCCTAAAAAAATTAATCATAAAAACATATAATTCATTAAAAACATTCTGTATAAAAAAATAATCATAATTTTCACAATAAATGAGAAAACTCTATCAATTTTTTCTGTTAATAAAACATCTATAATATAAAAATTTGTTAAATAATTAATAAGATTTAACATTTTATTAGAATAAAACAAATTTCTGTGATCATAACACTTAATATTTTCCAATTATTCATAAAATCTCATTTTTTTCGATGACATTTGATTACAATTTTTTAAACTTATATTTAATTGAAATGAGAATCCGATTGAACAAAATAATAATGAATTCACAAAATTAAAACCAAAACTAATGATAATATATAATATACTGTAATTTATTTTCTCCTATTAAGGCCAACAAAATCAATGTCTAATTTGCATACTCTTTCTTCACTAATACATCAATAATCGTGAAAATCATAATATAATTCAAATAACATAAGTTAAGGAAAATAATTTAAATGAAGTAATCGATTCAAATTTTTTGAATATATGTTTAAAAATATGAAAATACAAAATGGATTTAAAAATATATCAAAAAACAACATAAGTTTAAACCAATTGCTTTGTAAAGTATAAAATGATTGAAAGCATTGTCTTTTAAGAGGGAAACTCATTGATTTTGTCAGTGAATTATTAGCCGACAAATGTTTGCTGAATTCATACGAGACTAACCTTTAAATATTGCAAAAGAAAAAATACTATTATAAATGCATATATGTTTGTGTCTGTTGTGTGAGTTTATGTAATATCCATACGTGTTGTGCAACATATTTTGTATTATGTATTATATTTTTTTCTCCCCCATTAACGAAAAGAGAAACACCTAAATAGTAGCACATATGTAATGTTTGTATAAACATAAAGAATATTCTTGATATGCAAACACAACACAACAACAACACAAATGCATAAAAAAATTCATAAGAAATTCATGAAGTTTTCGTTTTCTGTTAAAGAAAATATATATATAAATATATTTTTGGAATTGAATTCTTATAAATCACTTATTAAATGATACGTTAAATCTAAACAAATATAAGTCTATTTCACTCTTCTAGTGCTGCGATAAGAGAGCAACAAAAATAAAATAATGACAACAAAAATAAGTGATCACTACTTTAACAAAGTGAGAGAAAAAATACACTTTTGTAGAGTTTTTAAAAAAGGCAAACATATAAACAATGCTAAAATCTATTGATATATTTTTTAAAAAAAGTCGTTTGATTTTTAAACATATATACATATAAATATACTATATATAAGGCAGTTTCTCTACAAATAAAAAAGCTTTTTACTCTTATATACTTACATTGCAAAAATATGGGACCAAATATATTAACAAATAAAGTGAAGATTAGAGACTAATCTAACGGCATATAAAGCACAGGATGTATAATAATAATAACAGCGAAGCAATGGTTTGACTCAAATATTAATAGGAAACACTTTTTTTGTTTTATCGGATGAGAGCTTGAGATGAGCCCTAATTTTGCTCAGACTTTACTATTTAAAGTAAACTTTGATTGCAAGTGCTATCACTAAAAGCAAAACTAAAAATATAATATCATTATATAATACAAATAAACAATATTAATGACAACAATAAATTTGGAGTAAATATTTTGTAAAATAAACCTAATATCTGATGGCATTACACAAGAAAAATTGGAAATAACTTAACAATTGGTGAATATTCTCAATACAATTGCAAACATTTTTCTAAAAATGTTATTCTAATTAATTTTATAAATCCAGTATATGTTATAATAATAATAATAATAATAATAACTACTTCATAATATAAAAACACTTCACATGATTAGAGTAAATGAAAAATAAGTTATTATTTAATTGAATAAATAAAGTTAACCAACAAATAAAAATATTAGTTGTTAAATATATATAATATATACAATATATATATATACTGTATATACTCTATATCTTGTGATTAAATAGAGATATATACAGTTAAATACAGATACAACTAAAATAAAAACAAATAAAATGAAACATAAAATCAATTACTAAAAGGAAAAGTAATTCTATTATATTATTGCTATTAATGGCTATAACTTTGTATTTCTTTTGCTTACATTCTATGCATTTCTCTGTCATAAACACAATATTACATAACATTTATAAATTATTTTGTTAAAACATCAATATATAGATAATATACATTTATATTATTTGCTATAATAATTACAATGTTTGCCAAAAAATTACAACATCAACAACAATTTTTATTTAATTATTTTTTTTTTGCTTTTTAAGCCAATTATTAGCTGATATTTGTACACACTACAGACTGGCAAAACTAGGGGATTAAAATATATTTACTTAAGTACATATATACAGATAAAAGGATTAATATATACATGCAAAAATTTTATATAAATAACATATATAAACAAAACAAAGATACTAATGTCATATGATAAATAAAGTTAATATTATATTTAATGTTAATATTAATATAAAATAAAATGTTTAAAAAATTTAGATAAAAATATTAAATATTGATGATTGATTTGATTGATTTAAATATAAGAATAATAGTAATAATAGTAATAATAGTAATAATAGTAATAATAGTAATAATAGTAATAATAGTAATAATAGTAATAATAGTAATAATAGTAATAATAGTAATAATAGTAATAATAGTAATAATAGTAATAATAGTAATAATAGTAATAATAGTAATAATAGTAATAATAGTAATAATAGTAATAATAGTAATAATAGTAATAATAGTAATAATAGTAATAATAGTAATAATAGTAATAATAGTAATAATAGTAATAATAGTAATAATTTTTGTTTTAACTTTTATTATAATTATTTAAAATAAAATTTTTGTATGCATAATATTTACTTATACTGTATATATGAAATAAATAATTATATTCATAACTTCCCTACTTTGCCTGTCTGTAGTACACACATTAAAGTCAACCATTTTTGACAGACACTCGATTACTTTAGTATTTATTTAATCTATAATATTATATTAGACAAATTATAAATAACTATAACTAAAAAATACTATATTATTTTTTATACTTAAAAATAAAGTAGATAAATTTTTTTAATAATCAAAATTTTTTTTGGCAAACAATAAAAAATTAAATTAAGAAAATAATTAATTTTTTCAAAAATTTTTTTTGCTATTGTAATTACAATAATTTTATTATTTCGGTAGTAATTACTATATAAAAAACATTTTACAGAATATTTCAAAACAGAGAAACAAACGCTTTAATTAACAAAAATTAAAGAAAACACTATTTAAATCTTTATATATTAACATTTAAGACATTACTTAAATAAAATATAACAATCGTATAGCAAACTAAAATTAAAATTTTTTAGAAAAAAACAATATTACAGAAAAACCAAATTATTTGACTTAAACAGGGTTTCAATTAAATAAGAGACAGAAAAACTATATTTAATATATAAAAGAAATCAATGAGTAAATCATTATTAAGAAAATTTTAATTATTAGAGCCCCACAATTACAATGATTAATTAATAATAACAATTATTATTTAATCATTAATAAAATCTAAAAACTACTAATAATTTGTAAATTATCTTAATTATATTTTACTCGTTTGATTTTTAAAAATTCTTAAATCTTAAATAAAAAACAAATTGTAATTAAATATAATGTTTTTATCGATTTAAGCAAACAAACAAACAAACAAAAAACAAATGTAACAATTAAAACAAGATAATAAATTTTATATTTATCTCAGTTGTGCCCCAAAACTGGGTTAACTATAAAATTTTGTTGACTCTTATCTTGTAAAACAAAAAATACTAAAATTACGACAAATAAAAAGCACATTTTATTAATTATTATAAATAAATTATAAATATATATTTATTATAATTGTATAAATAATTAATATGTTTTTGTCATTAAATTTAAAAATGACATGTTAATACTAATTATTATAATTATTATATCTTATATTATTATTATATAAAAAAATGTTTGAAATAAAAAAGATTAAGAAAAAAATTATAATAAAACCGTTTTGACTTTTACTTAAAATATTTTATTATAAAAATTTTAAATTTTAACTGATTTAATATTTTAAAATTACAGTATTATCATTACTATGATTAAATTTTTATACAGTAATTTAAATAATAATATTATTAATATTTGAAATTTTTTTTTTAAAAAGTAGCAATAGTATATTGTAGTTATATATTTAAATATCATTAAAGAAAAACTATGCACTCAAATGACAGCACATATTAAAGAAAAATATAAAAAATTATTTCAATATATTATATATATATATAATGTGCATTTATAAAGTGTATGGGATATAATTTAGTAGATAAAATTTTTTTTACTAAACTCAAAACTAATTTAAATATTTTATGCACAAAATATATATAAATATATATAATTTAAGATCTCTCTCTCTCTCTCTCTCTTTCTCTCAATGTATCGATCGATATAAAAAAGAGGACTTAATTTAGAGACAAAATTTGTAGTTAAGGTTTCTAATGCACTCAAATACAAACTAAATGTCTCTCAACTTTTGCATCAATTTCGTTGTAAAACCCTATTGTTATGTCAAATAAAATAAAACTCAAAACCATTTTATTATCATTTGAATAGAGAGAACAATGAAAAATAATTAGTTGCCTTTAATTAAACTCTGAAAACAATAGAGTCTTCATATATATTATTAAACACTACTGTATATTACTTTTAAAAACAATAAATTTAATAAATATACAGAAAGTAAAGATAATTATATGATGTAAAATATATATTTATAAATTTTATATATTTATTATATAAAAATCATACAATAATTTTCTTATACTATTACACTCACAGAATATTCTGGTTATTTTAAAAACATTTTTTAAACACAATCTATACGCCATCCATAGGATATTTAGATCACTAAAAAATCAGTTATTAAAGTAATACTAATGCAAACACTAAATGTTATTATAATTTATATCAAATATATTTATTTAAAAAAAAATAGTTCACAAATTTATTAAAAATTTAATTGTTTAAATTTAATTATTACATAATCACTACACAAATATAACTTATTATAACTACAATAATAAACAACTAAAATCTRTACTAATTTTGTTGATTCAAACAAATAGTGATTACAATAAACACAATGAGGCGATACTTAACACACTATTTGTTGAGACRTTTGTATGGCATATGTGCTATGAWTTGGCATTTTAGCACTTAATTTGTATTGCAATTGAATATCAATAATRTTTGCATTTGTCAGTGTTGTCAACACATATGTATTGAAAGCAATAAATACATGAATCGGTTAATTCATAAAAAAACAAAATATAAACAAATTTTTGTATTAAAAACAAAAATAACAAATTAATTGATAAAAAACAATTCAAACGTTTAGTGAAAAACTATGTATGAATTGTTGATAACATTTATATCGCAATTATGTTAAAAACATGTTTCATGTGTTTATAAYAATTAGTTTTAAATATTTGTTATTTTAACTAAAATATCGGCGAAAACAATGCGATTACAGACGTTATAAACGGTGAATGTCTTTGAAGGCCATTAGTAGTAGTCATCAGAGATTATCACCGATTGTTTGGTCAACAGTTAGGAAGAGATACAGACAGAAGGCGTGCTATGAAAGAGGTCGATGATCTGACACATCCCAAGACGATCGGCGACATCAATGGCCGGACTCTCGAGTCGTACGATAAACGGGAGTTCATTTGTGGTCTGATGGCCGCAATGGTCAACATTAACTTGACTTTTCCGATATCTAAAGTGATATTTCGGCAAATGTTGTACGGCGTGCAGATTCGGTCGGCCATCGATCAGCTACGTGTCGAAGGACTGCGTTATCTGTATCGCGGTATTGGTCCGCCATTGATGGCGAGGTCGTGCTCGGCGTCCATCATGTTTGGCACGTTTGCTGAATACCGTAAACTGTTGGATACACAGTACGGCAAAGTACTGGTGCCCACCACTAACGCACGCTTTTGTTTGGCCGCAATGATGGCCGGATCGACTGAAGCCTTATTAACACCATTTGAAAGGATTCAGATGTTATTACAGGACAACAACTTTCACAAACAATATAAGAATACTTTGGACGCCTTTCTTAAGCTAAGACAGTTCGGTCTTCACGAATACTATCGGGGATTAACAGCAATACTGTGCCGTAACGGACCGTCTAATGTCTTATTCTTTACACTTAGAGGTGAAGTCAAACAATACCTACCAGTGATCAACTCGTTTGAAGGCCACGTCTGGTACAGCCTATTCAAAGATTTTATATCCGGCGCGTGTGTCGGAGCACTCATCTCAAGTATCTTTTACCCGATTAATGTGATCCGGACTCAAATGCAAACTCGACCGCCCGGTAGTCCATTTGTGTCTATTGTGAGGGCCTTTCGGGATGTATATCATGAAAGGGATCGATCGATACGTAAAATGTTTTATGGCGTTCACGTCAATTACAGCCGTGCCTTCATTTCCTGGGGTATTATCAATGCCTCATAYGAGGTGTTCCGTAAATTGCTGTACAACTAAGTCATAAACCCTTAAACCAAATCCATTACAAACCTCAGTGTCTCTCTCTCTCTCTTCACACTATTTGGTGACAACTGATTGTTATTTTATTTTAAAGTTTCTTGTTTTTAATAATTTAAGTTTTTTAATATTTTAATTTTATTTTGCAGTAATTGACTTTATATAATTCAAACATGTTTGACAAAAACAATAATAACATGTAATATTGTAACTATTAATGTAGTATTTAAATTAGATAATGAGTTATTGAGCTCATCATAGGATAGATTTTTATTTGGGAATTAATGTAAAATAGTTATTGAAAATCAAATTAATTTTTTGTACAAAATATTGAGTTGTGATCTAAATATTGTAATTTACGGTAATTCATTTATTTTAACTCATTATATATATATATATATATATATATTGGTATATAATAAATTTATATCTATTATAATATATTAATTTATATTTTAATTAAATAATACTATATAAAGCAAATGGATATACCGTATATAAATGTTATTTTAAATGAATATATGATGTATTAATATGAATTTATATATTATTGTTATAAATTTAAATAAAAAATAATTTAATATTTGATAGAAATATATATTAATTTACATTAACAGGAAATATCTGCTAACAATGAAATGTTTTATTACTAATAAATACCTTTATTTTACTTATCTTTCATTTATGGAGTCCATTAAGTCAGGTGAGAGAGTCAATGAAAACATAGTTATAAATAAATTAAATTCACATGTTATGCAAAAAACATGGGTAAAAATAATTGGGTTTACATGTTAAGTGTGATTCCGATAAATGTTAATTTACTATTTTGGTTATTATGATTAATATTGTATTACTTTATGTATAATATGGTTATCCTATTTTGTATTATATTAATGCCATTTTACAATATAATGCCTATATATTAATAAKTATAGATAATACCATTTGAAGATTGTCATAATATGCAATTTATGAATACAAAATTCACAAAATAAATCATTTTGATAATTATAAATTGAAAAATTATTAATTTATAATTTATTTTTGAAATATATGTTTAGTTAGTTTTTTATATTAAATATTAAGCAATAGTAATAATTTGCACAATTCATTTCAAAATTATATTACGTGATATTAATTTCAATTTATATATACATATTTAGTTTTAAAGAATAAAGTTTGCCATATATTATATGACAATTAAGTTGTAATATAAACCCAATAATTAGTACACATGAATATATTAAATARTATATAAATTTTATATAATATTTGTAATGCTTTTATATTGTAAATTATACAATGTGTCAAATAATTATATTTCATAAATCATAAATTAAATTGTATTCAAACCATACAGTTGTGAGAGTAATAATTATTAGATTATGTTATTATTATTATTATTATTATTATTATTATTATTATTATTATTATTATTATTATTATTATTATTATTATTATTATTATTATTATTATTATTATTATTATTATTATTATTATTATTATTATTATTATTATTATTATTATTATTATTATTATTATTATTATTATTATTATTATTATTATTATTATTATTATTATTATTATTATTATTATTATTATTATTATTATTATTATTATTATTATTATTATTATTATTGCATCTTTTATATTATTGATCTAAACTTTTAATTTATAGTAATTTATCGAAAACTAAATCTAAATAAGTTAAATTAGCATAAACAAACAAATAAACAAACAAATAAACTAACAAATAAACAAACAAATAAACTAACAAATAAACTAACAAACATTATAAGATTTATGAGATAAACAAAAAAAATCATTTTCTAAATTACAAAAAAATACTATTATAGTACTATACCGGTATAGTAGACTATACTTYAATATTATACTGTATATACTGTATTTATATATATATATATATATATTTCATTACATCAACTGTGTCTTATTAGAAATTAAACATCTTATAAATAAATCGTTTTTATTATTAAACGATAAACTAATCAAACAAATAATAAAATTAAATGCCAAAACTTAATTGAAAACATTGAATATATTTTGTTAAGTGAATAGTAATTTGAAAGTAAATTGAAGAAACTTATGACATGTAGACACAAAACAGTGATATAAATAATAATAAAATAAAGCATAAGTAGAGTAACATATCATAAATACAGTATTTAGTATTCAATTTGTTCATTAAAATGGTTGAGTTGTGTTATATACAGTATAATACATTAATTTCATTTAGWCTTCAATAGAAAGCATTTTCATTCATGACTTATTATTTGGTAAATTATTTTAATTAAAATTTCCTTATAATTCAACACTAATTCACTGTTTTTCAAGAGCTGTTTCAGAATAATAATAATACTAATAATAATAATAATGCTCTTAAGTTGTTCACAATTTTTTGTTAAATCATTAATTAAATTAAAATTATTTCCATTATTTTTTAATAAAAAAAATAAAATCTGTTTTTTTATCAAAACTAGCTAATAATAAATTAATTAAATATTAAGTATAATATTTTGTTAATATAGTAATTAAATGTGTATTATATTGATACTATAATATTAAACTGTATTTCAATATTTTAAACTATAGACTAATATAAAAAACATATAATAGACATTTCATTATAATATACCATAATACCAGGGTTAAGTAAAGGGGGTCCCATAATATCGAGATTTTTGAATTTGRTCCTCACAGACTTTTTGACAAAATTGAAAAAAATTACTTTAAAACAAGGAGAAATGACTCTCAACCCTTAAAATTTCAGCGCCAATTTACATGGGAAATTCCCATTGGGAATATTTGGGAATTTCARAAATTGTCAACCCCTCGCCCTGATTTTTAATTTTTTTTTTGAAAAAATTACCCTTTAAAATACAATAAAAGTCTACACCCAAACTATACCCCCAAAATTTTTTGATTTTTTTCAATTAACCCCCCTAGACCCCCTAAAATCTAAAACCTTTCTTAACCCTGCATAATACTTGTATATACTAAAAACATTAATAAAGTTAGATTATACTGTATTAAATATACCTAATTTTTAAATAAATTATTAAAATTGTACATTATAAATATATTAAATTATTTTTAATAATTTACACTATTAAAAAATTATAATATCTTTAAACATATCTTTCAAACATTTAAAAGGTTTAATTTAAATTTTAAAATAACTAAAAATACAAATGTTTAAATGTCTGTAAATGAATTGCTATATCAAATAATAAACAGAAAATGATTTGTTTAATTAGTGTTGTTTTAATAGTTTAACTTTTTAAATATATTTATTTTATAAAAACACTTAAATACTATTTACGTAAATAATAAAAAAAGGATTATAAAACTAAGTAATTCCTGGAGTAATAGTAATTTTATTGTTTATTTTTAATCCTAATGGTTTCACTGTAATTACAATTGCAATAATACTGTAGTAATGTTAATGTCAGGAAACACATAACATTAATATTAAAAAAAATTTATGTGAAAAATAGTTTAGTTTATAAGCACTTTTCCTTATATAATGTAAATTACAGTAAAAAACAAAACATTATTAATATGCAATTCATTAAATGTCAAAACTATTTTAAGCACACAATTCAGTACTTTTTCCATTGCAATAAAATTATCGTTATTTAAAATACAATATTTTATTATTAAAATTGTATTTACTATTAATATACAAAAATATGCATTTTATTTAAACATTATTCTATACTCTATATTTATTGTAACTAATCATGTATTTTTACTTATAATTATCATAATTACTATCCTATAAAACAGTTTACTATTTTATTTATTATCTCAACTTATTTTAAACTTATTGTTGTTGATATCATTAAATTATTTCATTTTTATTTTTTATGAATGTACTTAAACATGTTGTCATTAAAAATTTATTTATAATACAATTTACATTTAGTTTATTACTTTTATACAAAAAAATATTATTATAATATAACTATTTTATAATATAAAATTTATATTACAAATTTTACAGTTTTATATTCATTTAAATTATATTCTAACTAAATTAATATTTTATTTTATGATAATATTGATATTAACAAAATTTAATAAGATTAATTTTATAACAATATTACATTTGTTAGTAGATATTTGATATTATTTTTTAACTATGAATATTATTAAAATTAATTAAAATTTACTAATATGTAATGTACAGTATTGCATAACTAAAACATATTGTACTGTACATTATAAAAACATTTGTTTGATTAAATACTGTATAAAAATATTAATAATATAAATGAAATATTGAATTTATAAATTGAAAATGTAATACAATTAAAATAATATTTTTAATAAAATATGTATTRTTTATAAATACAGTAAAACTGTGTATTTATTATTAATGAATTGGAAACCTAATATAAGCATTAATAATGATTTATTGGGTATCATTAAATTGTTATACAGTATTATGGATATTATAGTAATTATGCATATCATTGATTTTACATTAATCTTATATAAAAATTTACCAGGGCATTTTATGTTTATACTCTATTGTACACATAAAGTAAATATTAATCATTACACCATATGTTACGCTCATAAATGTTGCGTTTTTTGGGTACAAACTATCTTTTTTTTGAAACAAGTTGTGCTCAAACAAGTATCATATTTTAAATCAATATTTGGCTAAAAATATAACATTTTGTTTTATTATTAATATTACCGGTAATATTGTTAGTCTACACTGTAGTACATAAAATCCAATAGATTATTGTTATAACATTCTCATTGTATAACAAAACAATTAACATTAATAAGTTTAAAATATGGATTATAAATTTAACTAGAGTTGTGTACAATAAATAGATTAACCCATATTGTAATTTAGTAATATATATATATATATATATTATATATTTCATCTCTCATTTAAATATTTTACACATGTTTCGTGCGAAATGTCAATAAATTTATTGTTATAACAACCAGAAAACAATAACAAAACTATGCAATTTTATGATATTTTTGTGTCTAAAATTTTAATGAGTTT